AAACTACATGTTTTCTCTTACCATGTACATTTATTTCAAAATTCTAATATACTTTTAGGCTAGGTTAGGTTAGGGTTAGGTTAGGAAAAATATATCTAAAAGTCAGAAAATTTATAACTTGAACATTGTTAAAACTGAAAAGTAATTTTTTTATAATAAAGATAAAAAAAAGAGTTGAGAATGACAGGAGGAATGAAATTTTAATGATTTTTAAATGTACAGTAAAATTATTTAACATTTTTTTATGGAATTATTTAAGAGCGTAACGACTTGTCATTATTGCATACCTGACGATTTGTGAAATTATAAAATGTTTAAAAAAAGCAATGAAGTATAGTTATACTACCAGTTGACCTACATGAAATGCTTATTCTGATATTGCATTTCTACAAGTCTATTGGTAGCTTGTGTACACAACTTTTAAAATTTTACATAAATTACAAGCAGCATAATCACAACTGCTATATTTTATTATTAAGAGCTCAAAATTAATCTATGATTTGTGCTCGATTTGATATCACGATTCAATATCTTAGATTACTTATGAGATAATCTCCAATTTTCAAAAACAAATGTTTCATCACAGATATTACAGTCAATGAATAAAACTCTGGTCCACAATGAATCATGAGCTCTAACCAGGTGCAAAGAAGAACAAATACAATATTTACATTCATAAGTTTGATTTCTTTAAATGGTAACAAAACCTAGAATTTTTAACCGTCAAATATAGATGACTTTATGATCATACCTCAACACTGCCAGAATTTAAACCTACAGCAAGGATTGGGTCTGTAGTAGCCCATTTTACAGAGCAAATATATCCCTCATCAGAAAGCTCCAACAGGTGCATTGCTTTCTCATCTTGGCTGTCCCACAGGTGCAGTTGTTTATCAAGTGCAACTGCTAACAGCGGTGTTGAAGACCAGTCCAACAGGTGAAGATCTAAAAGTCCAAGTATTTATTTTATTACATTAGCAAATTTGTTTGATGCTCTTTGATATAAACAATGATAATTTTACCCAAATCTGTACCCTTTAGTTTTGGTTTAATGCTATTTCTTATGTATACCCTTCTACTCTAAAAGCTACCATAGCTGTTTGCTATCCTTTATCCTCTTTTTAATCATCATCCTATACATCCTGCTTTTATCCCTTACAAAAACTCCTCCTTCTTTCTGGCCTCAACACCCTTCCTTTCCATATGTACACAGTCTACCTTCTCTATAACTGACCTACCCTTTTATATGTATACCCTGCAATGTTCACTCTATCCCACTGTTTATGTATTTCTAACTACTCGAACCTTTCACTTCCTGCACTTCCTTCCTACTTTACTTCTCTACCCTTCCTCTTCTGTCCTTTTATCTTCTCCATAACATTGAAGATTATTTCATATCACACTATACTATATATACATATTGCTAAAGTTGCTATTACCATGGATATTTTTCTCATCTAAGCAAAGAACTCATTCATCTCATTTTGTTCCCACATATTTTTTCTTGCATTTTCCTAACACTTATGTTATACTGAGACTACTTTACAAATTTATCTACAAGTTTATCTATGATCAAACATTATTGCATAAATGTCTTTCCTTTATCACTTTTTTTATGTTCACAGTATCATGTTTCTTAAAGACAATTGTATCTCACAATTTACTGTCATACATTAATGTGTGTATATATATATATATATATATATTTAATATAAATTAATATCATTTAATATATTAGAATTGCTCTAAATTACTCGACTTATTCTCGTATTTATCAAACAGCAAGTTTGTTGTTTGACTCCAGGATTTTGTGCCTCTGAAGTACCTTCTTTTAATTTATAGTTGCTATACACCAATAACTGCTCATTAAAAAATATAAATAAACTGAAATATTACAATTTTTGTTTTGTCTAATTCAAAATTTTGCATATTTGGTGGTATTTTCTTGTTGTAGAAAAAAATATAACAAAATGATAGATTAATATCGGCAATATTTAATGACAGTTTGTATTTTGACTTTAATACACAATAATCACTGAAATTATAACAGATAACTACTGTAGCGTGTCAAATTCTGGGCTTTCATATATAATGTGGATTAGATGGAAGCAAATTTCCAAATATAATTTTAATTCAGCACAGTACTGTACTAACTTACAGAAGAAAAAAAAGTTTGTTAATAAACAATAACAACACATGTTAAATACCAATCAAAAAACTTCTTGGTGCAGCAGATCATTTTATTGGTACTTTCAACTTGAACAGCACGTTACGTGACACACACACACTATTTTGAAATCATGGATAACGTGTTTGACAGTCAACAGCACTTGCTGTCTAGACAGCTACTTATAACCAAATAGTGAGATTGATTCTTATGGTTATAGCAAACAATAGCTGAAAGTGTAGAGCATGCTTATTATGGCTTGAGCCTTCTGATCTGCAGCCCAGATTGTTAACCACTAGGCTTTGACTTTAGACAAGGAAGGTACTTGATAGTTTGGTTCTCCCAGGGCGTTTGGAAATTGGGAAATTTCCCTTCACCCCATTCACGAAAAGTAAAGGTGTTGCACAAAAAAAATAAAAATAAATAACAAGATAAATGAAATGATTAGTAATAATAATTATCAAGCTTCATCACTTATTTTACTTGTCTTACTTTATTTGGTTTGACAACAAAATTAGTAGGTAAAATATCTGTAGAATTTCTGGTAATCTTTACTATCATAATCTAGTGTTAAAAAGCAACTTACTGAAATCTGTCAGTATATCAGGAGCTTCCAATACCTTTTCTGGAGACAAAGATATTGACCTTGTAATACTGTACACGTGGGCAAATAACTCAGTTTCCAATCCACTAGCTAAAAAAATAAATAAATAAATTAGTTAACAAAGTCAAGGTGCAAAATTTAATTCTTGGAACTTTTTTTTGTAGAAATAAAAGGCTACCCATTAATGTAACTACATTAAAATTAAACCTTATTACTGCCTCAGGTACTCAGGGGTAAATTTCTGAATTGTAAGAACTGTATCCTGCATAATATGCATTTTAACTACTGTCTGAGAATTACTTACTGTAAACCATTCAACTCTGAGTCAGCTGATAGATTCCTAGACCCATATACAAAGGATTTCTAAATTTTTTAATCATTTCAGTATCTTTCATATTTAATGCTTGGTTCTTTTTACAGTTTCAATTTAAAATTTGTATACAAATGTTGCACAGTAACTGAGAAAACAACCAAAATTACAACCTTATTCCCCTCGTGACTACTTACTTGGTATACTGGCAAGGATAAAGAAAAAATATGATTAAGTCATTAATAAGAAAGATTTAAACATTAAAATTAATTATCTGGTGTTAATCAAAATAGGCAGACAGATTCATCATAAAAAGATAAGTCATTTTGGTTCTTTGATCCATAAACCTGAATACATTTTTGACATATTTTTTCTTTTTCGTGAATTATAATTTAACGTATTTGGATAAGATTCATATTTGTATTTAATAAAAGAAAAAGTTAAATATTTTCTTTTATAGTCAAACGAAATTACGTATCCAGAACTGACTAGGAATTACCTGAGACAGCCTTCTCTTTTGTTCGGAATGAAAACATTGCAGGTTCTGGAGGTGTTAAAACTTGTCGATACATACAGTTTCCCTGTTGACTGAGGGAACAGTCCTCCCCAAAGATTTTAAAATATGCATACTCCATGTTAGTTGTACTCCGATTTGGTATGAATCTATAAATTTAAAATTGTAAATAAAACAGAAAAAAAATTATTTAAAATTATTTTTTGATTTCAAGAAGTATTATAACAGAACTCCTACATAAAATTTTAGTTGCAAGAAACACCTTTCCTTAATACATGGGCTTTGTTCAGTGGAAGCCAAAAATAAGGATGTCAAAATGTTATTTTCTGACAGAAAATTTTCTCACATTTACTTGTCTGTTCTTATAAGATAAGAAAGCTTCACGTTCATTAAATCTTTGTCGGATAGTTACTTAGCTGTCAATTCAACATAGCGTCATGAATATAAGCGACAGGTATATTTGTAAACAACTTATGGTCTCAGCGATTTAGGAATTTTATCTTTCTAAAAAAAAAGGTTTACAAAGTTTGAACTTACTTTTGAAAACTCATCCGAGCATAATATGCAGGAAAACTTTATTTAGAAGTTGAGCAAGTTTGTTTTTAAAAATCAGAGATTCATCACAAGGTTATAGAAGAAACAACGTTATAGTGCTTTTCAACTGTAGGAACAGTGATAGTACGGTACTGCCTCATTATAATGTCATCAGATATAACACTGTGGCACCTTAGCTCCCAAAAAATGTAGTATCATCTGCTGCTTAGCTCATTGCTAAAGTCATTACACTCTGTCTCGAAACAAAGGAAAAAAAAGCGGGAAGTCCCAAGTGCAAAGCTCAAAGATGTGAATATCAAGTTCAGATGTGAACTTGACATTGGGATGTTGGGAATTAAGGTAAAAAACGAATTTGGAAATGTGACTCAAATGTCAAAATAGCAAGAAAGTGTCATCAATATAGCATTTTTAAAGGACAGGTTTAAATTCACAAGGGCATTTTTCTAGCCATATGCAATCGTGGTAGGATAGAAAACTATTGGCTATCATTCGACCTAGCGGGGATTCCATCCATCTATCTAATGATGTCATTAAAGAGGAAATGGTTTAACTCTGTGAAGAGGGCAAGAAGCTCCAATAATTGTTTACAGGTTTAACAAGGTACTGCTCAGTGTCAGAAGAAAATAGAGATGTCATGTTGTTAATTGCAGCAGGATTAAAATAGTGTTAAGCCTGCTCACCTTTGCAGTGAATTTAATTATCTAATTAAAATGCCGATTGTTTTTATCTTATATTATTGCACCTTATTTTATCTTATCTATGTTATTTTTATATCTATTTTCCCCTATGTAAATAAAAGGTTATTCTATTTAATTGATTGGTTTAATATTCTGTTGAATCCATACTTGTTCAGCATGAGTGCCTTCTTAAGTAGTTTGTTATAATGCTCCCTCACCTATATAGCTCTCGGATGCACACTGCTCCCGATAGTAGCATTATAAAGAGGCAGTATTGTATTTTCCTTGTGCAACAGTTTGTCAGTTCAGGTTAGTGAAGCCCAAAGAACAGTCACTTTTTTGAGCACCTGTCTGATGTTGGGAGTTACTGGCAAGGCAAAAAGTGGAATATTTTACTTGAACGAATTTGAGCAAATTAAAAAACTTGAAAGTGACATATAATCTATCATAGGTTTTGTTACATAAACATTGTACTATGTCTAAAAAAATGATGTTTAAAAGCAGTTTTAAATTTCTACAGTAAGTGTATGTTTATATGCTGTTTACTAAGATATTTAATAAAATAATTAGCTTGATTTTGAAATTAAATAAAGGTGTAGCAAATTAGTTTTTTAAAGATATTTTTAGGATACCCCTAATGGTATCATTATTTTTTATATCAGTGATTAGTAGCCAGATCAATAGCTTCAGTGACGGGAATGTTAATAAATATAAATTTAGTATCACAACTGATCATAAAAACAAGTTTAAGAAAATTCAAGTCATTAAAATACCAACACAATTAAAAAATGTAAAGCTATCGCTGACAGTATGATTAGAACAAGTGAATGCCTTTAAATAGATATTTAAAAATTGTATTTAGTTCATACTTGGATGTTATCATAAGAAAACCTATGTTGGATTGTATGCTAATTTTTCCAATTTTGTTCCCGAATTCTTCATGTGTAATTTGATTTAAATATAAACAACTCAAGCAAATATTTTTTTTTTCAACAAGAGCTTTCTATTATCTGACAAATTTGATTATTGTTAAGCACAAAGCTAGTACACAATGGATAATATGTGCTTTGCCCACTGTTGGTATTGAAACCCAATTTTTTTATGCAAAACAATCAACAAATTAACACGAACAACTCTTGTTTTATATTTTGTAAGGATAAAAGTCAATATGAAGAATTAACTTAAGTCTTAACAATTTTTAGAAATATGATAAGCTAAATAATATTTAACTGCTATTTGATTTCTTCATAATTTAAAGATTCAAAAAGTCACCACTGTGTTAGAAAAAGTCGTTGCAGGAATACACAATTTCCACTATACTGTACTTTGTTTATTAAAAAATAACAACAACCTACAACTCTTGCACTGCCATAGACACATAAATGTTCCCCAATAGAGTAATGCTATGGGAGTTTTGAATTTTGTACCATCATGAAAAAAAAAAGCTAAGCAGTTCAAAGTTTCAGAAAAGTAATGAAATATTCATATATGTATTTTTTTAAATAGTGTATCTAAAAATAAACTTGACACTAGGAGAGTTGTTGTATATAAATGTGGCAGTGAGAGAGTTAATACTTTATTGGCATTGTATTACTTTAGCCTACTGTACCTATCCTGTTTCTTGCTTGGTGATCCCAAATCTTTACCCTTTAAGATTACACTTTTCTTTAAATATTCTTTCTTCAATAACACTTTTTTGGATTCACTACAGCTTCTCTGCCTTGGCTTTTTTTGCACCTGACGCTTAGAAACTACTTTTGATGCCAAACCAGGGCTGCTGTCAATAGAAGGAGACAGGTTACCCATGTTAGGTGAATCAGGAGAGCTTAGAGGACTTCTTGGTGATGGATTTAGTTCTGCAATAAAGAAAATTTCCCTTTAGAATTAAAATTCTTATAAATACTGCTTTACAATGGTATATTACCAAATTTAATACTATATATAACTGAACATAATTTAAGAATAATTCCTTAGCAGTAATACGTTTTATCTGGCTAAACTAAAACTTAGTTAATAATTTAGGAAATGTGTAATTTGCCTAAATGAAATCTCTATAACACTTCACATTAGACATGTGAAAAGATTCAACATAAAAGATTACTGTCCCATAAGAATACACACAAGTTTAAGAAATTTGTTTAATAATTTCATCCTTGTACTAATCACACTATTACTTCTAATAAAATCAAGCAGAATGGTAATAATTCAGTAAAGGGTTATTAGTCAACATCCTTGTTTTTTCTAAAATGTTAATAAATTTATTTTTACTGCAGTTTCAATTATAGAAGATTATTTTGCACATGTACTTATTTTTGGCAAAAGTAAGCTCTTATAATACACTTTTATAGTCGAATGACGAAGCCACGTAAACTTTTGTTGAGAATGTACTATTTATCTTTGTATAATATGCCGCTGACCTGCTTAACATGTTTTTTAGTATTTTGAAACTCATCACATATAATTACATACTGATATTAGTTAGAAATAAGTATTAATTTGTTTCATCATTTGAAATATTTATTCACAAGTTTATTTTATAATAAATGATTTGTTACAAAATTATACCTTATGGCCCAGAATAACTACCTCCATAAAAAAAAAACTGAAGCCTCCATTCTTAACAAAAAGTTAAACTACTGGACATTACATGAGCTGTTTACTTAGGTTTTTTTTTCCACATTAGATTAAAACAAATAATGACCTAAATATCCATCTGAAACACACAACTGAATTTTTACTCCATGTTCAATGGCCTTCTTCCTAAGTCGTGACTCAGAACAAGAAGACATACCACTTGCAATGTAATACGGATAAAATTGTAGAAGGTGATGCTCTCACCAGGAAACTTTTCCTCTTCCAGTCTGTAAAATATAATCCTCAAATTTTATTATTTATCCAAATATAAAACAAATAGTTATTATAACAGAAAATTAATTTCTCAAACAGATCCCAAGTATACAATGTGAGTGGCTTTTTTTGGATAACCACTGAAACTTCAACCTGTTATTCACTCAAAAGTAATTAGGCTACCTACATTTATTTTCCTATAATTGTAGTTACAATTCTGGCTGACTTGGGCCCACTTTTGGCTCTCCCCCCCCTGAAGGGACATACTTACACCACTCTTAAATGGTGACCTTACTGCAGTTTACATGATTATCCAAATACCAGAAAATTTGCAAAAAACAAAAAACACTATATGTGGAACCACGTCTAGAGTCAAGCTGCTCGGTAATTTTTTTTAACCACAAAACATTAACATGACACTTGACCTGACTTCACTCTTAGACCAACAAATGACCATGATAATTTCCAAAGAAGATTTAAATTTTAAAATTAACATACACAGTCAAAGGTAAATCTTCTATAACAATTGTATCATGGGATCAAGATTGTTTGTTACTAACAAGAATACTGGTGCAAAAATTATCGGAGACCTTAATTTTAGATATACTGATTGGGACTGTGGTCAAAAAGCGAGTAGAAAGGGGTTTCCTCAAGTGATTCCTGATGGTTTCCTACACCAACTGGAGGAGATAAAAGTTATGCCATTTTAGATTTCTTATTAGCCACTAATTAGAATATGATTGCAAGAGTTGAAGTAAGGAAACATTTGGAAAGGAGTAATAATTGGAAAATTAGGTTTGATGTTTTATTATGTGTTGAGGTAAAAAGAAATGGAATTTTAGTTCCTAATTTTCAGAAAGTCAATTCTGAGATGATGAGACAAGATTTATCATTAGGGAATTGTGATAATGAGTTCAAAGGTATTGTGGGACAAGTTTGGGAAATTTTCCAAAACAAATTGTTTTTAATTCAAGAGAGACAGTTCTTAAAAAAATAAAAAAGGAAAACAGAGAAAATCAAACCTAAATGGCTTCTAAAGAACAAAGGATAAAATCAAGGATAAATTTTATAAGTTTAACCAATTAACTGTGGATATTTCCGTCATTGAAGTTCTATGGCTCAGCTGCGAATGACGGAAATATCCGTCAATCGCACACACATATATAACTATAACTCTATGCGAATGACGATAATTAGCGTTTTATTGTGATTGATGGCAACTCAGTTTTATCTGTGAGTCAGAAAATTGAAACTGAGCTGCTCCTGCAGCAGTTAATGGGTTAAGAGGTTTAAGTTGACAGATAGAAGACAGAAGAGTGAAACTTAAGACTGTGCCCTTAAAGCATGCTGATGGCTAGGTTGTTGTTGAAAACTGAGATGATGAAGATTTTAAGTGCTTTTATTTTTGTTTTTACAAGAGAAAATATTAGCAATATTCCAGGCACTAAGAATTTTTATGGGGAACATTGGAATTGACCTGAATCACATAGATATTAAACATTAAACTCCTGAATATTTCTAGCTGTATCGATGATGTTGAGGTAATACAGAATGAAGTGAATAAATTATTATGTTCACAAAAGTTTGGCAAATAACCTTTAATTATAGTAAGTGCAAGGCAATGCATATGGGTTATCATAATTTACATAATGTTTAATATGGATGAGAACCCACTCAACAGCATGACTGAAGAAAAGTATCTTGGAATAATGGTGGATAAGTTACTCCAGCAATTGAGAAGGTACATTTCTGCTATTAGTAATGGATAGAATTTTAAGACATTCTTATAGACATCCTGATTAAAAGTAAAAAAAGATAATCCTCTCTCTATGGAGATCATTAGTTAGGCCTCACTTGGAATACTATGTACAGTTTTTATCTTCTTATCTAATAAAGAACACTGATTTATTTAAAAAAGTTCAGAGAAGGACTACTATGTTGATTACAGAGATGGAGGAGTTATTCTACATGGATAGGATAAGATCTAACTTTTTTTACCCTTGAGAAGAGAAGGCTAAGAGGTGACCTTATTGAAGTTTATAAGATCATTCAGGGGATCAATAAGATAAAGGCCTCTGATTTTTTGTGCTGTATTCTGAAAATAATAGGATAAGACATAAGCTTAAGATTTGGAAAAAAAACAGGCTAGTCTCCAGTTAATATAATTTTATTTCTCTACCAGGGTTATTCAATCATGAAATAAGTTGCTTTTGGCAGTAATGATTGCCAACAGTTTACAGAAGTTTAAGAGAATAATTGATGTCTTCCTGAAAGATAAAGGGTGGGTTAAATTTTTTTCCTTTCTCAAGGGTGGGTGTGCAAGGACAAATTTGAAGAAACAATTTACCCCTAGTTGTTTGTGGGTTATTTATTCTAAAATAAAAAAAGGGGGAATGCTTATTTACATCAACTTCACATAAAAAGCACTTCAAATTCAGAAGCAATATAATGGGTTAAGAGCTTGTACCTTTACAATTTATGATTTTTCACTACCTATCACACTCAACCTTAACTCATTAAATATTTGTTACCAAAGCAGTTCTTCTTCAAAATTACATGATCTCTTAAGTTTACTAGGGTTATAAGACAAAAATATTTATTTTATGTTAGTCATATACAAATAGAATAAGTGGCTAGACAAATAAATTCATTTTACAATTGGATGATACATTAATTTTAAGTATGATGACATACAGATTAGTGTAGAACTAATGGTTAAACAGAAGCTGTAATAATTTAAATATGTTGCATTCATTATTATTATTATTCATATTACTCTTCATTTTCTTCTGTGATTTAATAAAACTATAAGTGTAACTTTACACTACAGTTTCTCTTAAACAAATTAGGTAGTAATATAAAAATCTCACAAAGGCGACTTATTAATCTTTGATCAAAGGGTACGCTATTTAATCTTTAATAATAATAATAAAAAAAATAGATGTGCCACTTCCAATCAGAATTTATCCGAAATTTAAAGGTTCAGCTTAAGCCAAACAGACTGAAAACTGAAAGATATCACGAAAATTAAAAATATAACTTAGAGGCCTTAATCGCCAAATTATAAAAATATCAGTTCTACAAATGACTATATGAATGCATCTTACTTGCGTTGCTTAGACCTGGCACTCTGCTGAACAATTATAGAAATTTAGTATCTTAGCGTACGAAAAATCTTGAAAAAACTTAAGTTGTACACTCAGAGCAAAATGTTTTATTGTTATCAACTATTATTGTTATTTTTTCTAATTTAAGAATCTTACACTTATTGCTTTAATTTAACAAAATAAGATAAATGTTCATAATATTAACACAGACTAAGGTATCTATCGTGAAACATGTCACGTGAGTTACAATTCGCGGTGAAATCACTTGTGGACATTTAAAACGATCACAGCGCTGTCTCACTGTTGTATTGTAACAAATAAAAATAATGGTATATTTTCTTAACTTTAAATCAGCATTTTTATAAAATTATTTTCAACTATTTATGCTTCATAACCCTAACTGAGATATACTTTGAAGTTTGTTGCCTTTCATTATAACATTGCATGACATATTTCTTAGATTAATCGTATTCGCTTATTTATGCATTTATTAAAAGATCTGTCAAAATCAAATTTTGTTATGGTTTTGGACAGATGTCTTGAACAACCAATGAGTAACTTCGACAGTTTGAAGTCCACAACAAGATACTTTATTTGGTAAAAAAGAGAACACCCTAAAAAAATTCTGTGTAACCTAGAGAAACTGAAATGTAATTGTTGTAGGATAAACGTCAGATTTTCTTTTATATTTTCAAACTGGGAAGTTTGTGAGAATATAGTCCACGCTCCAGATTTTGCAAATGCTCAAAATAAGGGTTAACCCTACACTACCTGCTCCATAAGTTTTGACTGAATTTTTGTGATCATCTGACCATTCTTCACTATTACGAGTGTGTAAAATATTTTGGCCCTGCAAAGCGGTCCAAATCCAAGATAGCGTCTAAAAAATATCAGGTTTGAGCTCAAATTGTGTAGCCATAACGGTAACGTCATATAATGTTTTCGATCATAATATAGACATTGTGTACCATCAGACAAAAATAACAACGATTTTGTTTTCCTGATCACAGATATTATAACATCACATCATAAATGGTTGATACAGTGCCACAATAAATCACAATTTATCATAATTAAGAAACTACCTTCTTGAAAAGCTGATACGTTACAAAGCATTACCTTTGATAACTGACCAGCTCTATATTGCTTTAGCCGATATGTGGAAAAGTCACTAACAACTTCACTGTATTGGAGTTTAAACTTTGCTTGCATGAATGTATACGGACAACCTATGCAGATAAATATAATGTCACATGCAATTTTTCTTCTCTGACAGGGGCTGATGGAAGCGGAAGAAGCAAAATTGGCAGAGAGAGATGGAGGACTAAAGTGCATGTGAGACATAAAGATTGTGGTTCAGCGGAGGACAGAGTGTATGACGCCTGTGATAGGTAAAATGTCTATTAATATACATAACGTTTTCACAATACACATTTATTTAAGTATATTCATGTAATTTTCATAACATTTCGTGGAGATGTTCTGCATGTAATATGACATTCACGTTAAACTGAAAGGTAAAAGGCATTAAGAGTGTACTAATTCCTTTACCCAGGTAACGATTTCATTCGCCAATGGCAGGAACATCACATAACTTTGGCTCTCTCTCTCTTTCTGTCTACCCATGGGGAAGGGCGAACATGTCTCAAGGGGTGACACAGATACTTGTACAAAATGGTACGAGTATGGGATTTTTTTTCCCTATAAATATTATCTGGAAGAGTCAGCGACATATATAATATTTGATTCTGGTGCATCGCACTTTAACGTTTTTGTCTATATTTGGCGCGGTAAATCAGAATTATCTTTGTCATCTGTGTGAACGAGATTTAAATTCGTTTTAACCGTAACTCCAGTAGCCAAAGGCAGGCCAGTATAGGTATTATTTTGCAATATTTATGAATAAATTATTGTTTGTGTTTCATTTTGCCGTCTGTTTTCAATTTATTCTCTACATAAATACCATTTCCGAAATCTGAATACAGTCTGTAATAATTTCATTAAAAAATCGCCACTATACACTCTTTATCACTAAACTGACAATCGTGCAGTATAAATCTAAATGATAACCTTCGGACGAATGTTTATACCCCGAAAGACGTCTATAGCATTCCACGTAATACAGTGTACCAGTGCTTCAGTGTGCCAAATATCCTTAAGTTACTGAAACTCTTTGCCACACTGCCACTAAGTTCATGTTAATGAAAAAATTCGGCACCTGCTCTCTGCCGATTGAATAATTACCTGAGTTGTACACAAACCGAAGAAAGACTGAGTACTCTAGCTTTAATACATAATCTTAATGACACTGCTATCAACATTGAAACTGTATGTAAGTTATTTACAGAAAAGCACCTCGGAAGAATGGAGCATGCTAACGTGCTATTTCAGTAGTGCATACAAGTAATTATATGATAACCAATAATTGAAATAGCTAATATACTACTGTTTTGTAGTTATTTAAATTATTGATGCAATAACAATTAATAGCTACTCTACATGTACATAGTACAGTACTTTACAATGATAAAACATACATATTTATGTTAATTTAAGTCTAGCTTCCCATGTAGTGTTACAACAGAGTGATGATTTGTTGACTTTTCATTGGATGTTTGGGGATTTTATATGAACAGCCATGCGATTGTTTAAACTATATATCATGCAAAATTGCTTCCAGATTTAATCTCATAGCACCCATTTTTTACTGATTTTCTGTGTGTGTGGTGGGGGGGGGGGAGGCATGGCCACATACCCCCGTAGCGATAGTATGCTTTGCATGCTGATTTTGCTTCGCACAATATGTGTTGGTTTTTGATCTCACAAATTAGAACCCCCTCTTTCAAACATTCTACGCATGGGCCTGAAGTATGATATGTTTATGCAAAATAATAACTAATGGTTATCCTCATCTAGTAGTACGTGTAGTCAAAATTCTAATTATGAACTTAGAAATTCGATAACCAAAACTAAATAAAATAACAACAAAAAGTGCTTATATAACAACAATAGCTTCCGATCAGAGTAAGTTATGTACTTAGAGCAAAACTAAACATTAACCTCGTCATCAGTATAGCTAATTAAATATACTTTTCTTACATATATACTAATAAAGATTAAAATGCATTGTTTCATCAATTGGGTACCCTCGCTGTTAACGATATTATCGGCCATAAACCCAATAGTAACTCACGAGTTTCGGCCAGATTATGAAATTTAAGTTAGACTTAAATACAAATTCTAAGCTAATAATGCTATTCAGTCTTTATGATAAAAGTTTAATAATTAACAACAAGTTAAAATAAAATGAGCGCAATCATATTCGACATAGTAAGTAGCATAGCAATATTATTAATGAAAGGAATAATAATTATATATGTACTTGAGTTGTTTGTTTTTTGTAATTAAGCAAAAGCTACACAATGGGCTACCTGTGCTCTGTCCACCACGGGTATCGAAACCCGCATTCTGGCGTTGTAAGTCCGTAAACATACCGCTGTGCCACTGATAAACAATCAAATGATCTGAAAGTTTCTACACTCAAGTATCATAGCTAACAAGAATTTAAAAACAATTTTTAGTGTATCGATATATATATTTTTAATGTAATTAGAGGAAATGTTTTCTAGATTTGAAAGATAGGCTAACCTATGTTCTGAGTGTAACCAGAACAGAGACATTTCTCTTAGCATTCTGAAAACAACATAATTTTGAATCTAGAAATTACCCTGAAAAACTGCACGATTATTTTGAGAAAGAAGCAAAACGATAACAAAATTTTTCGCACTCACTTCTGTGTATGAGCTGTCAGGCTTAGTTTACATGTAAAAACTATTGTATGATATAATTATTCTAATTATTATTTTCAAAGATCATGTAGATTCGAAATTTGTGGCGATAATACAAATGTGCTTCGGATAAATCAAATTATAACTGATGTTCGTTACTGATGCAGTGTAAACATAAAGGATTGAAGCAAGCTTCGGCTAGTTTTCGGAAATCGCAGGCAAACATACAGGTAACGGATTGATTTCACTTGAGAAACCATCAATTTATCTTTCATAGATATAACTTTACCTTCCTTAGGATGTAAGTTAATTATTGCTACAATATTAGGTCAACGATAATAACATATATACTCGAGTTTTTGACACTGCGTTGTTATCACCTATTTGTTATTAGAGAAATGCTACAAATTATTAAAATATGAATAATAACAGATGGCGTGTTATAGATGATTAATCAAGCAGGAAATGAACGAAAGTAATACCATGGGAATGGGGAAGGTTATCATAGTGTTATTAGTGAAATACTTTAAGAAGACGTGATATGAGTTGTGTTGGATATGTCTAGGTGAGACTTTTTTTTTTCTGTTGTAGAAATTTATTAAATAAAAAATAGTGGTATCATTTGATAGTCTAATTTTAAATCATAATTTATTTATTTCAAGATTTACTATCCCCAAACTATACATATTGTTATAAATTATTTAGTGTTTGTGATTTGGTCATATACAATAGTACTAAGCCTAAGCAACTTGTTTGGTCTAAACTTAAGCCTAATTTTTATTTTTAACGGTGCTAGAAGTTAAACAGAAGTTGTATGCATTAGCACTAACAATGTAAAATCTTCTAAAGATATGTTAAATTATAATTCTTGTTGTTGTTGGATCCATAATAAATAAGTCTCTATCGTCTTCAGTTTTGCCAGAAATTGGCACTCATCATTTCTTACTGTTGGTCAAGTATTTTGAGTTTTACTGAAGTCATACTCGTAGTTTTATCTTTTATTTTTACGACTAGAAAAGTTTAAGTAACTTTTAATTTTACTTATTTTGCAACTTGCTAAAATATGTGAATGAGACCAAGATAATTTTATACCAATCATATGAGGTAAAACTTCAGAAATTATGGTTTCTCTCCCTGATAAGTTTTTGCAAATCACTACATCATATGTAACTAATGCCAGTATTACTACTACTAGTTCAATAAATCAGGCTTGTATAGTTGTTGCACATTTTTACAAGTACACTTTTCAAATAATGGCTACTACTACTAGCTTTGTTCCCCATTATCATAATTTTGTTATTTAACAAAGGATGGTTAATATGTGAGCGTTTATCTTTTTAGATTGTGTGTTACACACAATAAACTTAGAATTGTGTAAAAGTTCTAAGATTTTCATTAAAAACAGACATGTGTGGCTTCAAGTATCACAAGCATTAATGTAAAGTGATTCCTCTTTTAACATAAAATTAAATCTTGTAGTTACCATAAATTTTCTACTTATTCTTAAAGGTATTTATACATCAAGGTTTAGTGACATGTTTCCCATTCCTTAGAGCAGTTTGAATTTACTTGTGATAAAACAGAAAAAAGTCCAGATATCCTGTAGAAAAAAAAATTATAAAATTGTCATTTTGCTTGCATGAATAACAATACATAAAGACTTGTTTCTAATGAGAATGACAATTAGGGCATTGACTTTACTGACAGACTTGTACACTTTGTGAACCATAGTTAAACTGTATACTGCTATGTATGTGTAGAACATATGTATTTGTTTATACATCAAATGCTTATACTTACAGGTCACATAGAAGTTGTTGTTTTCAACTTATCTACAGGTTTTTTTTTAATGAAACTTGTTTATTTTTTTAAACTACTTACAACATTATAGTTATTTTTAAACAGCATGAGTTTTTTTAAGACTTGTCATCTGATCATCAATGTGATTCAAAATAGGATGTGTAAATGTTTGACATTTTTTTCTGTTCTCTTTTATTGGTGAAGCTACTGTAAAAGTTATTTAAAATTGTCCACTGCTTGAATATTGTAATAGTGAAATTAAATCAGTTGAGCCAGTTTCTTAGCTCTTCTTATGGAAATTTATTCTTGAACATTAACTTTTTGAACTCCAAAATACGTTATTGTTAACTTCTGATTAAAGAAAGCTACTTAGATAGATTGGAACTAAAGATTTACCAAGTAATGATATAACTAATTTAATGTGCACCATTCTTACTTATAATGATTAGAATACATTGATTCATCATTTAGGAACTCTTGCTGTTAACAATATTTATAGGCATGATCCCAATAATATTTCATGAGCTTAAAATATTTCAATTAGTTTTGAATCCACGTACTAAGCTAATGATGCTTCTTCAAAATTTCTTCAAATTTTGTCAGGGTCAGGAGTTTTACTGTGCACATGTTTCACCAAGATTTTACAAAAATAGTTTTCTATTTAACAATAGTACAATTTAAGGGAAACCACTACCTGCCTTTAAGCACTTCTAAATTGTTCTATATAGAGTAACTACTAAAAATAAGAAAAAACAACTAATATCCTAATTTTTTTATTTTTTTTGGGGAAAAATATTTGGCCACTTCAGCATGTACATGCAATTTTTTAAATTTTAACACAGATGCATAGTGGTGTTGTAAACCTCGTTTAATTTGAAAGATTTTATGAAATCTGTAATCCTTAAATTGCTAAGCTATGTGATTTTTATGATACTGCATTGCATATTTGTTGACCTTATCAAGGTAACTGCAAAAATTCTGTGTGATATTCTGTGCATTTGTATTATTTCAACAGCAAAAAATACCTAATGTACAGTATATCTTTTTTAAATATACACATGCACCTGAGTCTAGTGTGTTTGGCACATTTTATGTAAACAGAGAACTTTTTTAATATTTTGTAAGTTTGTAGTATGTTAAAGTTTGTTCTTATGTTTATTTAAAATGTTAAAGGTGTATGACATTGATATTTTTTATCTATTTTAGGATGAGAGAATTTAAAGTTGTTGTTTTGGGAAGTGGGGGAGTTGGAAAGAGTGCTCTTACAGTTCAGTTTGTCTCAGGAACCTTCATGGAGAAATATGATCCTACAATAGAGGACTTTTATCGCAAAGAAATTGAGGTGGACTCTGCCCCGTGTGTTTTGGAAATTCTAGATACTGCTGGTACTGAACAATTTGCCTCCATGCGAGATTTATACATAAAAAATGGACAGGGTTTTGTTGTTGTATACAGCATTACCAATCATCAAACATTTCAAGACATTAAAAACATGAAAGAACAGATCATGAGAGTGAAGAATCTCGATCGAGTTCCAGTGGTGGTGGTTGGAAATAAGATAGATCTTGAACAGCAACGGGAAGTAAGTAGCATGGAAGGGATGTCCCTAGCTCAACTGTGGGGATGTCCGTTTATGGAAGCTTCGGCCAAAAACAAGTGCAATGTGAATGAAATGTTTGCTGAAATAGTACGTGAAATGAACTTGAACCCAGAGCCAGAAAGACCCAGTCACTGCTGTGTTGTTCTCTGATGTAGGTGAGTAAAGTGATTTTAAACTTAAGATTGAGCAGTTTTATGTTGCCTGATGCTGTTGAGGATAGTGACGTCCACTGTTGTGTTTTCCTTGATCCAGATGAGTACAGTGACATTAAAGTGAGAAACATCCTTTACTTGTTTTCATTTTTTGAGCTACTTGAATAGTGACCATTCAGTAAAATTCTGTTTTCTAAGCAAATTAATTTCAATAACACTGAACTTTAATAAGAGTGAAATATGTAGCCTTTTTTAACTACTTGTAGGTGAATAGGAAAATGAGTGATTTGGAGTTCATCATTTAACATACTGTTTTCTAATACAGTGACACCAGAACTCGACTAGTCAGATACATTCATGTGTTTATTTAGCTGAGTGTAACAAAATTGTGAATTGGTGACATTGTTAAATTCCACTTTTGCAGGCCTCACGGGTGAAACAAAAATAAGACAAATTGTTGAAAGGTTTTTACAATATTCACTCCTTTTAACTATGTAAATTACAGTCTTCTGTTTTTAAAAAGAAATAGAAGAATGAAAATATTGTAAAGTCCTATATTCTGAGCTCACAGAATGATAAAGATAAGTTGAAAATGACAAATTGCTTAATCGGGTTAATCTGGCATTATCGGGTAAAACTATCAAGATGACTTAAAAAAGGATCTTTTACATAGTCTTTTTTAAGCACTGAATTGTTTGTTTGATAACAGGAGATGAAGTGTAGATTTTATGGGGAATTTTTGGTAAATTTATAGGGTTCACTTAGCCTAATAATGTGAAGTCAATACAGAAAATTTATTTTGATAATTGGATCTAAATCGTGTTAGTTTTTTTGACTAAAAAAAGACATTTTTCTGTGACCAGTTATTTATCCAAACATCTGGACATTTATCCCTATGACTAAACAGTATCTTATTTCTGTTTCCAGATCTGTTTCTCAACCCCAAAAATACTGTGGTGACTTATTTTAACATTTTGGTAGAGTCTATGGATAAAATACTTCCAGAAGTGGTGATGCAAATAGATAAAGATTTTAGGTGCTACTATAGCACAGATACTATTATCATCACCATTTTAATGATTCACTAAAACATAATTTCTTGCTAAATAATTTATATCTATCCACGTTTTTGTTCACCAAATAATAATAATAATTAAATAAGTTGTGTGTTCCAAAAGAGTCCCTTAAATTTAGATTATGATTGTGCTAGTTTTGATTGTTGCAACTTATTTAAGTCTGATAATATTTGCCCCAAAAACGTTATGTAATGGCATTTTGTACTTTATTAGATTAAAAGCATTATTTATAATATATGGCACCAATTGCAAATAAATGAAAGTTAAAATGGTAACGATGATAGTATCTGTGTAGACCGCACGCTATAGTAACACTGATTTTACAGATTTAAATTTGTTCTATCACGCTGGTTTTGAAACCGTTTGTAATAGAAAACAACAAAAACGAAATATTTATTTATTGGGATTTTGAATCTATATTTATGTGGTAAAGATTTTTCCTTTTTTTACCAGAGTTGAAATGGAAAAGAGAATCTTTGATGTAGAGGCCTATTATATTCTTTGATCAGCCGTACACTCTACTGTGGACTGCAGTTTTACCTCCAGTGAAAAAAGAAAAATCTTTAACATATATACACAATCATTAAGCAGTTGTTCTGCTGTATAATATTGAATAATGAATTTAATGAAATGTCATGACATTATACACGTACCCAAGTTAATTTAGATTACTATATGGTGAGGTAAAACGGACTCAGAACCCCATAGATATTATATACACTTCACCATTATAAGAGACCTAATGATATTTCTTTGGTTTGCTGACCCAAGCTGTGTTGATGAACTTTGAATAGGCAAAACTGCAGTCAACAGCAGAGGGTATGGCCAATCAAAGAATGCATTGGACCTCTGCGTCATATAATATCTTTTCAGTTTCACCTCTGATGAAAAAGAAATCTTTAACATATATACACAAAACAAGACTTAGTCAATCCTACCAAGAATTTTAAATTTTGACTTGGTATAAAGATGTCTGTAATATGCTTTGTTTGTTGTCAAGTGCAGAGCTACACAATGAGTTATCTGGGCTGCACCCACCACAAGCTTTTTTTAGCATTATTAGTCTTAAGGGGGGGTCTGTAATGTGCTGTTTCTTCACTTGTGAATGTAGCAAAATAATGTTGTGACCTGATCATACATATTGGTTATATTGTAACAAGTTTTATCATATATTTAAATTATATTGAGGTGCTAGTTTAGAAAAATTATGATCAATCATGGTCAACTGACCCGAGATACAGAAAATTTTGAGAAGCTGACCCCCCCCCCCCCCCC